AATGAAAATATTAAATAATGAAAATGTTAGAATAAAAATGTTCATTTTAATACAAAGGAAAGTAGTAAAGAAGATGTAGGAAAAAATTAAGATGGGAGACATAAAATGCAAAAAAAATAAGCGAACTAAATGAATGGCTTCCCCCTTGCTGAGATGAAACACCACGATCAGAAGCAGCTTACAGAGGAAAGAGTGTGTGTGGACTTACTGCTCCAGAGACCTAAGAGTTCACATGACAGGAGGTTTGGCAACAAAAGGCATGCATGGTAGCAGGAACAGGGAGCTGAGAAACCACATCTCAACTCCAAACAGGAATAGTGAACTGGAAGAAGGAAGCAGTTATATACTGTCTCCTTACAGCCCGCCTCCAGTGACACATTTCTTCCAGCAAGACCATACCTCCTAAACCGTTCCCAAACCATGTTACCAACTAGGGACCAGGGAGAATTTCGGAACCTATGGGGGGGGGCATTCTCATTCAAGCTGCCCTAATGTAAATTAATTCAAATTGATTAGAGGCTCAAATGAAGAATTTGCAAGTGTAAAACTCTCAGGAACAAAGAGGAAATGAGTCCTCATAACTTTAAGTTAGGCTGATTCTCTTTGAAATAGTACACAAAGAACACAGTAATAGAAAAGTTGACTTCATCAATATTGAAAAGCAAATATTCGCATTCAGTTTTCCTCTCTCACTTTGGAAGGCCATTCTCCTTTTTATTGGCATAATTTATTCCTAAAATGGAAAGCTCTATACACATACGGCCTCTAAATTCAAATTGGATCACACGAGTCTACCAATTTTATTAACTGTATTATGTCTAGTTCAATTTTTCTTCTTTATTAAATCAGTTTTAAGTAGCATTTATTAACATTTTAGCTACACTTAAATTTTCAGATTTGTTGGATTAAATGGTTTATACTTTCCTTATTATTTTAATTCTTATCTACATCACTAGCTATGATGTCAGCTTAACACATTTTTTTCAGTGAGTTAAGATGAATTTGCATAGTTTCTTACCCCCAACTATTCTAACTTATTTTCATTGATGATAATTTTGCATAGCTTAATTTCAGGCTTTACATTTATAGCATAGGTCTTTTTTTTTTAATAGGAAAAAAGCAAGTTAATAAGGTTAGCCACCACCACCCTTTTTTTATTGTTAGAGCTCAGGACCTCCAACATGCCTTGCATGTTCCTCTACCACTGAGATCCCCTGCCTCATGTGTGTGTCACTTACCTATGCCATATGTCCCATCTCCTACTTTGGGCCATGTTTTCTAGTTCTTCTACCTTACAATCTTTTCTTAATATTCACTTCTTGGGGACAGAATGATAGAGGGCCCAAGTTCTATTCTCAGCACCCACATGGCAGCTAAAGACTGTCTGTAACTCCAAGATCTGATACCCTCAGACAGACAGACATGCAGGCAAAACACCAATGTATATAAAAAATAAAAATTAAATAATTTTTTTAAAAAGGATGAAGAATTAATCTTCTAGTATATGCCTGTATTTGTTTGCTTAGCATTAAATGTGTTCTTTCTGAGATTTCAGAATGCAGATATCCCCAGATTTTTCCCCAGTACCCCACCTCCACTCTCACTTCAGAACTTATTTCCCTCACTCTGCTAAGTTGTTTAGGATTTGAACAGGAAAACAACTATGGTCTACAGAACACAATGTTTGGGGCTTTTAGCTTTGGCCTTATTCTTGATTCTACCCACTTGCCCACATATGCATCTTTAGGGGAGTAGTAGTCTTGTCAATCAAAAAGGAGAACAACTCCAGAAGGTAAGAAAGAGTAGAAAGCAACCGAAGTATCCTAAAAGTTGTATAATTTATATATTGTTATATATTCTATATATGACATATAAATATCACACATCTTCTAGAATATCATAGATTATATGTAAATAGCATATTAATACTAGATATGTTTTATTACTGTAATTTAACTTGGCTACTTCATTGTTTTTGATGGTTGTGTTCTAGTTTTCTTTCACTGTTTAGCTCTGGTTGTCCTTGAACTCACTACACAGACCTGGCTAAACTCGAACTCACAGAGTTCTGCCTGCTTCTGCCTTCCTTGTGCTGCGGCAAAGGCATAACAGTCCCAGGCATAAAACTCACAGTCAGGTTCATCACAACAAACCTCACATTCGTAGTACCAGCTTCTTTCACAGCTTGTCATGATAAAACACTCTCCAAAAGTAACTTCAGGTGGTGAATTTGGCCTATAGGTAATAATTCGTCATTGCCAACTGAAGCCAGATAATTGAGGAACCCTGTTTAACTGCTGGCTCCCCCTAACTGCTTCTCAGCCTGTTTCCTTTTACCACCCAGGATGACCAACACAGAGCAAGTAGCACCCACAGTGTGTTGGGCCTTTCTCCCTTAATTAGCAGTTAAGAAGGTGCCCTCAAAACACATCCACAGGCCAGTCTGATGGACAATTCCTCTTGAGGTTCCCCTTGCCTAGGTGGGTCAAGTTGACAACCAAGATTAGCTATCACACTCACTATGTTGAGTAAAATAGCAAATATATATGTATTAATCTGGAGAGAAATTATGTATTTTTCATTTTGCAAACAAGTTACAAATTCATGTTTGTAGTGAGAATGCTCACCTTGTGGTCTATACACTTTTTCTGGATCCTGGGTTCCTTGTGTTTCTGACTTTTAGTCTACATTTGCAGAATGTGACAGAGCTGTAAGCATGAGATTGTGTTTCTCTTGTGGAAGAACAAGCCACTCAAAACAGGGCTAAGTCCATGTTTACATTTGCCTTTGGCAAGCTGTCTATTCTGTTTGCCCTGTGATAGTCTCCCAGACAGAACCTTTCTTGTCTGACTTTGAGAAACAATTAATATTGATCTTGGTGAATGGTCTCCCTTGATTTTTCGCTATAGAGAGATCTCAGTACAAATTCACGTATATTTTATTTTATTACCAAAGGGAAAAATATGTTCCATAGTCATTGTGTCCTGCTGGCCAGGTCTACTGTTTTGTAACTTGCTGTCATATCGCTTTCATTTGGCTTCTTTGTCACCATATATCTGTCCCTAATATTTTATTCTTTATGCAGACTCCTTCCTTGGAGCTGAAGTTGGCAGTGGAGTTTGCCTAACTAATGGAGACCATATGCTCTGCAATTACATTTCCCCAACAACATTCAGATTTGTTAGCAAATACTGAGAAGACAAGTTGAGACTCCGGAGCTGAAAGCGCTGCGAGGAGTTGGCACATCCGGATAGGTAAACAGGCAGTTGGCTCCTGTGAAGGAGGTCTGGTCGGTGCTGTTTTTGATTTAGGTAGTGTCAGCTTCCTATTCTGTTGTTTTGATAAAACATTGACCAAAAAGTTAGTTTGGTGAGGACGGGGCTTTCTTTTTCAGCTTACAGGTCAGTCCATCATTGAAGAAAGCCAAGGGAGGAGCATGGAAGTAGAAACTAAAACATTTAAAGCACTGACCGCTGAGGAATGCTGCTTACTGGTTCCTGGTTTGGTCCTCATGACTTATTCAGCTTGCTTTCTTAGATAATCCAGAAGCACCTGCCTCAGGGTGGAACTTCCCACAGGGGCTGGGTCCTCCCACATCCAGCATTGATCAAGAGAATGTTCTACAGAAATGCCCACATGGCAAGCATTGTATGCAATTCTCAATTGAGGCTCCCTCTTCCCAGATGATTCTAGTCTGTGTCAAGTTGATAAAGGGTAACTAGCATAGCTACCCAGAGATTTGGTTTTCAAAGTATCAGTCAATTAGATTATTCTTCAAATAACTAAGTATACATTTTATGTCTTCTCAATAGGTCACTGCATTCTCTCCCACAGATCAGTTTTTAATATGTGATCTGATAATTCACATTCAGATGAGAGACGTCGAATCATGCTATTACATACTGTTGCAGCACCAGGTTCCAGTAAAGGAGTATAAACATTGTCTAATGAAGATGGGCACAATCTCTGAAGATATTATCAACAGGCTCTATACAGCCCATACATGGAATGCTCTCACAAGCTTCTTTTCCAAGAAGCAAGGTCAGTTTTAGACCAAGGAGTCCCACATCCTGGAAAGACTTCAAATTTACAACATCCTAAAGATCTGAAGCAGGGACTCAAATCTCAGTGTTGTTATTAGATCTTATTGACTTGGAAATGAAGTTTTATCTGTGGCCCCAGGGTACAAGAAAGCCAACCCCTTCAGCAAGCTCCAACCACTGGGTTTGGATAAGTTAAAGGAAGGGAGACTTTATTTATAGAGATAGCAAGGAAAGGTTTGAGAACAGATGGCAAAAATGAGCCCATGCTTACATCTTACGATTCTACGGAACATAGCCCGAGTCTTTAGAGCTCTACATCCTGAATCTTTCTGTAGCAGCACATGACCTGCTAGCCCATTGTGACCCTGTAGGACTCTAAGAGTTTTGTTGACACCTGATGTGTGATGTCCTTCTTGCTTTTATTGGTTGATGAATAAAGCTGTTTTGGCCAATGGCTTAGCAGAGGGAGAGAGAGAGAGAGAGAGAGAGAGAGAGAGAGAGAGAATGAATGAGAAAGTAGGCAGAGTCAAAGAGATGCCATGTAGCTGCTGAAGGAGACAGACACCAGACACCAGAGCCTTAACCGGTAAACCACAGCCTCGTGGTGATACACAGAATAATAAAAATGGGTTAAATTAAGATATAAGTGCTAGCTAGAAAAATGCCTGAACTATAGGCCAAACAATGTTGTAATTAATACAGTTTCTGTATGATTATTTGTGTCTGGGCAACAGGGAAATGAACAAGCAGTCTCTGATTACAGACACCAGCAGTCATCCCTCCCCAGGATTGCACATGGCAACTGTAGAGTTGCCACCCTTGCAAATTATTGGCTTGCCACAATTTTACCTTCATCTTCATAGGGGGTGGGAGGTTATATAAGAATGTTGACACCACACCCTCCCGACACCCTCATGTGACAGTTACAAAGACACAAGAAGCACTCCATAGTTTAGAACACAAATACATAAATTTTTAATCTGCGAAAAATACAAAATGAAACCATGTACAAGTTATGTACAAACCCTTTTTACAAGACAAGAGAGTTATCACTGGTTGTCACAGATGACAGAGTTGGGTAGGTCTTTTCAGAGCACCAGCATTTATTCCCTTCTCCAGTTCTTGTCTGGTCACCTAATTCATCATAGCCACAGTCACCATGCCAGCAATCAGTATGTGAAAGACAGATGGACAAACCACGCTCTTTTCCCTTAATGAACATGTAGGTTGACCTCTGCATATGTAAACCACTGAAATGCTTTTTTTCTTTGTCCCCTGAAGAAATCCCAAATGAAGGTTTTGGTGTTCAGTGGGGGAATAGTCTCTTTCCAGCATCTGCATGGTGGAAATGAGCCAGACACTTTAGGCAGGATGTGATTGTACCACCTGGGAATGGAAGGTTCTTAATTAGGATTTCCAGGCAGATCTGGGTTTATGTTTGAAATGTTGCAGTTCTGTCTGATCATTTGAGTACATAGCGGAAGGAAAAGAAGAAGAGAGGTTTTGGGGTGGGAAAGACTCTGGTTTAGTGTAGACTTGTGGCTTGATTTGTCTCATTGTAGGGGCTCCATTCCCTAATGACTAACCCCTCAAACTGACCCTGGATCCCAAGGGCAGGAAGCTCTGGGTTGCTTTGGCAGGCACATGTGATGTGTATGCATATTTCCATCTAAGACTCTAAACAATAGGACTGTTACTGTATCCTAAAACAGACCCTAGAGAGCGTGGGGGAGGTCAGCTTTGGAGAACAAGAAGAAACACAGAAGTTCCTTAGGGAATAAATAAGGGGAAAATCTTTTCATTGTAACGTTCTACCTAGAAATAAGATCAGTTTTCACCTGTGCAAAAAGCTCTGATGTACAGCCTGGTCCAGGAAAGCCATCAGAACAAGATGACCTTAGCATTTTGTGTATTAAGCCTTTTGCAACTAGAGGGGTCTGGGTGTTCTATGCATAAGGGATGAAGAGCAATGGGATGCCATGAATTGATGAAAGGAGAGATAAACTCATGACCCCTCTTGTTGTGGATGCTTCAGAAGGCTTGCTGTGGCCTAGATGCCCTGTATATTCTCCATTCCTATGGTGTACAATGTGACATAGAGTGGCCTGGTAGTTTCCCACCCAATATAGTTCTCAGGGCAACCACAGGAAAAAAAGACAAGAAGAAAAATGATCCATTCAATCTGCCTCATTACTTCTGAGTCACCATTTCAGATACCCTTCATCTCAACCCTCATGGATGCCTCTTTCTATCTTTAAATACCTTTCTGTTTCCTATTCTCCAAACACTGAATGGATCTGTCTTAATTGCATCTACTTGATTTGTTCCTTTGAGCCCCTGAAAACTCGGTTATAACCCCAGACAGATCTACTCACCCATCATCTAAACCTATGTTTATCCCTTTATTGAACTTAACCACGCTATTCTCTTTATAAGTATCTGGTGTGTGGGTGGCAGGGAGGGGCTTTCATAGGGCCAGGCCTTCCCAAAGCATCTTCTCAACTTTGCCTCCTCAGCCCAAGACAACTTCCTGGTGGGAAAGGATCTCTCTCCTGCCTGTATCAGGAAGAAAGCAGTCCATTTCTCAGCTTCCTGAGTTCGTGTCACATTCTTATCATCTCCTCATCTTCTCTGTACCTCAGCATTGCTCTGTCCTTGGGGTCTGCAGTAAGCATTTCCTTTACAAAGAATCTGTCACTCGTACCCAGCAAGAGAGGCTAATTCAGACTTCAGAAGCTGTTACAATCCATGATATTTATTTGCCGTGCACCTTGTATTTACTGAAAAAAGTCTTTATCGGGTGCTGTTGTTCATGGCATGTCTTCTGTTCCCAAGAGACACAAGTTGTCCAGCAACAAGTGCACAAGGACTCCTTAGTAAACTAATGAAATCACTGATCTATCCATATTTCTGGATGAGCTGGGATGTTGCCTCTCATCTTACCTGACTCTGAAATCCCATCTATTCCACAAAGCTTGACTTAATACTTCAAACCATACCACTGTCTGTTCCTTCTACTCCTGCTCTATTAGAAAAGTGGTGTATATATGCTTACTCTTTCTCTACTGGTTCTTTAGGGTTTCCTTTTAAGCTTACTGCAAGTAAGATTGTGACATGCTCCTTCCTCCAGCCTGAATCATTCCTCTAACTGGTGTTGTCTACTAGTTCCAAGTTACTGGATTACCTGACAAAATGCTTTCATAATGTTGGAAGTTGGAAGTCCTGCATTCTTGATTGTCCTATGATTTGTTGGCAGTCTACCAGATGTTCTTATTATATAATGTCTTTAAAATGGTATAGCCAGCAGGTTTCTTTAAAACAATCTGAAAATCTGTTCCTTCCCCTTCATCTATGTGGTGGATTTACCACTGATATTCTAGTAATTGGCTATCGCAGGGCTGGTGTATGCCTGGCAGAGAGATAATGTGCCAGAGATAATAATATGAAGGAGGCTGTTCAGCTTGATGAGCTGTTATTGAGTGCAACCCATAGGACTTCACAGTGCTGAGAGAATGTTCAGCTGGACAGCCTACATTTCTGGGATACCTTCCAAAAAGAACCAAACATCTCAAAAGCTTCATCCCCAAAAGGGCGCCATCATCCCTGCCAATCACTCTTTGTTCAGACCTTTCAGTGACACTCTCTGACTTTTTAAATCAATTCTCTACTTAATTGTTTTTTTTTTATTTTATGTTCATGTGTGTCTGTGTGGTGGTGTCAGAAGCCCTGGAACTGGAGTTATAGATGGGTGTGAGCCACCATGTGGGTGTTGGGAATTGAACTCAAGTCCTTTGGAAGAGCAGCAAGAGCTTTTAACCACTGAGTGATGCCTCTAGCCCCAAAGCTCTACTTTAACTACCTACTTTCTATCATCTTCTACGAAGTCTTGTCCTACTTTTTCTCAGCTTGTGGCCGCAGACTTACTACCAAAGGTAAGTTTCTCACATATCAAAATCACTTTGGTTATCATTATAACCCCTTAAGTTTCTTCTCACTGGAAAATTCTCAGGATCCCTGTGCCTTCAGTCAAACCATGTATTTCCTACATAACAGCCTCCACAGCCCATCTAAGAATGGGTTCCTATCATTTTCCCCATTTCTGGTTAAGGGAACATATTCTTCCCTATCCTAGGCATTGCCTCTTGCCTGGGTTTCTTAAAGTATCATATCTATCTCCTTTTGTTCTCTGTAACTTTTTCATTGACACCCGGAGTTACCCTCTTTCAGGCCCATTTTCATGCTCAAAACCACAGTTTTTGAGAAGAGAGAGTCTAATTAAGAATCATTTCTGCCTCAAGCCATGTGAGACTGAATATTGAGGAGCTCCTAAGTACTGTAGGGCTAAAGACCTTTGGCCACCTAGGTCCCTTTCTTAATATTTTTTCAAATCACTCTTATCATTGGTACTGAAATATAAAATTTAAGATGTCCTCTGCATTGCCTTATTTTAATGTTAATCTTGGAATAATTAATAGCTAGTAATACATAAGCAACAACCAGTTAGGATAAATTTGGCTTAAACAACCTTAATATTCAACTAGAATATCTACATTTCTGTGATTCCCTTCCAGAAACAACTGAACATCTCAAAATCTTCAGTCCCCAAAGGGCACAATCACTGCCCTTCACTCTGTTCAGAACTTTCAGAGACTCTGACTTTCTATTTATTTGTTCCTTAAACAAATAAATCCAAAGGAGTCATCATTTTCTCAAGTAACCATGGGATTTAAGTGAGAAATTATTGTTTCATAAAGAAAAACACCCATTAAGAGCAGAGGCAGAAAAGAAAGTTCGAAGTAATTTCTCAGTTCCTCTAAGTTTCAAAAATGATGGCTTAAGCCTTTAGTAATAAGGGTGACTGTGTCAGTGATTTTACCACTGTCCCAAAGGCAGAAAATATGAATAAAATAAAAAATGAGAAGATCTGGAGCTGGAACTCAATTCTCAATGAATTTGTGTGATCTCTTGGTAGTCAAGATTTTTCCTGGTCAATTAACTATACTGTTTACCTTTGAGCTCAAAGAAAATTAATGGGAATAATAGCAGGAGAGTAGAGGTGTCCAAACTCTCTCTACATGCTATTGGGCTAGAGATGAAGAGACTAGCGAAAACTGTGCTGGACCAGGAGACAAGGAAGGAGAGGAGTGAGGCTGCAAAGAGAAACCCAGAACCAACAAAACCAGCTCATCAATGATGGAGGTGGATGTTATTGTATGACAGAGGTGGATGTGATGTTATGATAGAGGTGGATGTGATATCACAATAGAGGTGGATGTGATGGTATGATGGGGTGGATGTCATGGGATGATGGAAGTGGGTGTGATGGGATGATGGAGGCAGATGGGATGGGATAACAAAGGTACATGTGATATCATGATGGAGGTGGATGTCATGGGATGATGAAGGTGGATGTGATGGGATGATAGAGGTGGATGTGATGTTATGATGGGGGTTGATGTGATGGGATGATGGAAGTAGATGCAATGTTATGATGAAGGTGGATGTGATGGGATGATGGGGGTGGATGTAATGTTGTGATGGAGGTGGATGTGATATCATGATAGAGGTGGATGTGATGGGATTATGGAGGTGGATGTGATGTTATGATGGAGGTGGATGTGATGGTGTGAGGAGGTGAAACTGACTGTACGAAGGAGGTGAACATGACTGTAAACATTTGCATCTCAACTCTGAGAGCTTCCAAGCTGAAAAGTTCAAAAATGAACCTGACTGTTCTATGTTCAGAGCAGAAAGTGGATATTGGGTTTAGCTCAGAAAGCCTACATGGGCAACAAGGCCAGAAGAGCCATGATTACAGCTCTGGAAAGATTGTCTACAATGACTGAGGCAATGTAACTACTGCCTTAATTGGTCTGAAAGGGACCTTATCCAGCTCAAGGAATCACTCAGTGATTTAAGTCACTGAGACTTGGAGGAGTTAAAGAATATTTTCATAGTTAATTGTATCTGAATGCTCTTGAACTTTCAAATCAGGCACAGTTGGGGGCACTTTTTGTTTTCCATTCAAACTATCCCTAATTTCATACATTTTCTCATTCTCCACTTCAACTCAACAGATACCACTCTAATTCCTTGATTAAAACTACCGTCACTTAAGAAACAAACAAACCAACCAAAACAAAGTGTACCTTGTAGAAGGAAGGCCAGGTTACTTAGTCATGATCAGTCTTAAACATTAACCATTTTAAATGAATACATTCCATCTGCTTTGGAGAGGACATTTTAAAATACAGTTGATTAGACAAAAAGCACATTGCCTGCCTGAGAAAGACGGTGAGGGTAACGATGGACTCACGGGTAGTTTCTGTTTTACAAATGGCCTGATTCCCAAAGCACTCAAGCAACATGAATTTGCCAAACTATCTTTTCTGAAACCCTACAAAGGGACTAGAGATCAGAGCCTTCTAATGTGGAATACGCCAGAGAAGACTGCCATTGCCCCAAGGGGAATATGGTTAGAAAGACAGATTTTTTTTTATTGTTTTGTTTGTCTCTTTGTTTTTTTACCTTTAAAGGACTCAAAACTCAACAAATAGAAACAAATTGGGATCTTTGGGAAATGCCTTGAGACCTCCAGTTATTTTTAATAAATGATATTTCTATTTCAATTGATTGGCCTTGAGTTTTTGACAAAGGTGCCACCACCAGGTCATTTTCTGTAACACCTTAGAATCATACTTGATTTGTTTTTCATTTATTGCTCTATCTTAGAAGAAAATAGAACTATGTTATCATGGGTTTTGAAAGCTGCTTGGTGAACTGAAGGAGTTCCTAGCTGTAGGATACTATCATTGTAGCCATTGTGGTTTTTAAAAAAAAGTTTAGATTTAAATCTCTAGCTATCATGGGAAATGAGATAGGGGTTATGCTTCTGCATAGTGTTGAGACTGCTATTCTTCTAATGAAAGATTATTTAGATAAACAACATTGGTTGCTATAGAAGATCAAAGAACAAATTCAGAGGTGATTAGTAGGAATGAGTGTGAAGAAGAGCCTACTGTGGTTCAGGAAGGAAAGAAGAGCGTGATTGACATAAATGGACTTAGGTAACCCCAATGCAAAATCATGATGTGTAAGGAAGTCTTTGCTTTCAGGAATGCTGTCAATATCCTAGTAGTGGATTCTCCTCACCAACACATTTGGGTTCTGTTGGAAACCAAGAAATGTTTATAAGCCTGAATATAGACTGCTGACATCATTTTAGCCTGAGTAGACTAGTGATTGATTATAAATATTTTTTGTGTTAACAATCCAATTGGACACACATTATATTCACAATACTTTTATAGAACTAATTCTACAAAATGTGACAACAGAGTAACCACAGTCCGACAAGTCACTGCAGGACAATGCCTACGAGGTGGAAGCACAACTACATTGGCTCTGCAGGGAGTGGACAGAGGTGGAAGCTCATTTTGCCTACATTGGTAATTGGAGTCCTTAGTGGACATACGGTTTCATGGCGATTGCATTGCTTTGCTCTGCTCTGATTTGTACTATCATAGCTAGGTACCACAGAGCCATGGTCATCTAAAACATCAATGGAGGAGATGTCATGGGACTTTGGGGGCTATTTTGGTTAGATTGAGGAAGTTTCCACATTTTACATTTTTAAGAAAATAAAAATCACAGTCACGCCCATGCTTCTCTAGAGACCCTGATGATCATATCAGAGGTTGATCACCGTGAGGTTGAAAGACTTTCTGAGTCATTGGAACGAAACACTTGTTGAGTGACTATACACTGGGCATGCATGCAACAGCAGAGATGAGACATCACAATTGCATCTGATGGCTAGAAAAATCTTTTGACCACAGGTTGAAGTGGCTGATACATTTGATTTCATTGCTGGTAATTTTCAAAGGCCTTTTTCTAACAGTCTACTGTAAGAGCATGACTTACTTTCCTTTCGGTTGGTATTGGTTTCATAAATATTTTTAGCGAGTTTGAATGTTTTGTCCCAGCAATTCAACCAAGGAAAGCCAGCAAATGAAAATCTGAGCCAAAGACATCTTCTTGACAATGGACATTGTCGCCGTCTAAATAAATAGTGCATGCTAAGCATTCGGTAAAACTACTCCATGATGTTCACAAACTTCCAGGCTAATAGCTCTGAATGGGGAAAAGAATTCACCAGGTCCTCCCACAGTTGACAGAACTTGTTTGGGTGATTTAGAGTATGAGATGAGGAGCATAACAGCTTGGAGGAGGCCCCACCATGAGAATAACAAACAAGCCTGCTCTTGGTGCACGACTTCCGCATTCTAGATGTACCTGCATATTTTGAGCTGGCTGGTTAAACCTGATCTGGCAATTGCAGAAAAGCTGCAAAAGGCTCTTTCTTTTAGATATATGAACAAAGGCCATGAAACGCTGCATGAAAACCGAAACTACAGAAATCTGACTTTCAATTGTGTGGATAAGTAAGTTTGATTTGCTAAGAGCTGGTGTTAAAACAGATCTAAACACACACCCATCCGGGGAGACACAAATATTCACCTCTGCTCTTGGGACTTTTTTTTTTTATTTTATGTTTATGTAGATTGTTGACTACCTTAAATTCTTTTAGTAATCCATTTTCCTTAATTACAAATCAGGGTGGTGACCATCATTCTCCTCAAAGAAAAAGAAAGAAAGGAGAGAAATACACATTTAAGGAATCTGGCCACTTACTCATTTTGATTTTACATTGCTGTGATATGTGGGAAGATAATCTGGCAATGAAAAAAAAAGAAAAGAAAAAAATATATTTTCTTTCTAATAAATAAAAATAATTTAAAACCCTAGAAGCTATACATGACTATTTTAGTAGTATGTTCATTTATAAATGAAACCATTTCCAAAATACATGGAAGCAATATTCAAGGCAAAGAGAAAGATCTGTCTACTTTATTTTCTTGCAAAGTCTTGCTTACTCTAGTGTTTCCACCAGTGATTCGGCATGGAAGAGGAAGAGAAGTCACATCACCATTATGAAGTTTGTCAGGCTTTAAAAAAATAGTTCTGGTCTCCTGGGAGTCAACATTCATCTTCAACTTCTCTGATTGGAGGGATCAAGCTGCTTGTGGATTTGTATTGGTTGATCTGGTTAGCCATGTGGGTACTCATGGGCTTGATTTGAATGTTTCTGGGATAGGCATTATCCGGTTCATCTGTAAACCATTTCTTTTCTGCTAAAGGGCAAAATGGATAGAGAACAAGAAGGAAAAATGAGAAGCTTAATTAGTCCTAGGTTAAGCTTTTGGAAAGTTCATTGAAAATGCATAAAGGAAATCAATAGAAGCTGACAGTGAGTAATTGCTAAGACAGTGCAGTGGACAGAAGCCCCCAGAACCTGAACCGTGCCTCTCTTTCCTGTAGCAAGTAAAGAACAAAGTGAATCTGCTATTGAGCCTGGGAGACTCTAGGAGTTGGCCAACCTCGAGACTACGCTGGAGTGGACGGATACGGTCCCTACTGTGGAACAAATGGTTCAGACGTTTTCCTGGTTTCACCTCTACCCAGCCTTTTCTTGGCTTTGTTCTGACAAGTCAACTGTACCACTTCTGTCCTGTCTGCATCCCTCCCGTGGTCTGGTGGAGAAGGTGTCCTAAAGAAATCCCGTAGGATTTGTTGGCCAATAAGAGTAAAAATCAGAATAGGAGACCATTCTAAAAGAGTATTTTGAAAAGGTTTTTATTTAAAGAAAGAGAAGTCTGTGGGTATGAAGTCATGGAAAGCATTGCAGGTGGCAGTGTCTCCGCTGACTATAATAACCCAAGTTGTCGGCAGAGAGCTCTTGGGGCCTTGCCACTTTCCTTTCCATCCCTTACAGGAAAGGCTGAGAGAGGTTGCTGAGTCAGGGCCAGTGGGGTGGACTGGGAGGGCAGTTCTGCAGAGGAATAGCCTCTTAGCTGAGCTGTGCTATTTTACAGGATTCAGTTCTATCTAATCCCCTTTCTAGGATTGAAATTTTCTGAAAAATTGGCCATGTGTATGGACAGGAAGGGACTGGGAAGTAGAACATCTAGCTTGGGGGACTGTAGACTTCATTACCGTGACAGAAGGAAGGGAGAGGGAAAGGAAACCAGTTTGCTAATGCTGTCACTAGTCTAGAGACAATGGTCCCTATGGCTTTTGTTTTTATTGCTTATGGAATAATTTACATCTGCCTTGTGTCTGGTTGTGAACATACCTTTTAAAATGATTGCCCAGATAGCTCGGTGTGTGTGTGTGTGTGTGTGTGTGTGTTAGCTTATAAATTAAGCATCTGTGATTAGCTCATAACCACTCTTGTTGGTCAGTATTCCCACCATTTTCAGTGTTCTTGTTCCTCAATGTGGCTGCCTCTGGGGCTAGGGTATGATTGGGAAAAGCCCAAAGGAGGCTCGGCAGCTTAGTTCTGCCCTCAGGACACTTGCTACCTCTTGCATGGTTTTCCCCATGATCCTTCCTGCTCCGGTTCTCCTACCTATTCTAATTATGTTCCCTTTGATTTGAACAGATTGGACGATAGGAACTCATAATGTTCCATCCTCACGGCGAAGCTAACTGATTAAGTGCTTTAAATTATCCTCCCTGACAGAATGATAAAGTTACAATCTGCTCTGAGATGATCTACAGCTTGCCAGCCTCCTACAGCTTCTTTCTACATTCATTTATCTTTTTGTCAAGAGGAGGGTTTTTTTTTTCCCTAAGCTTCAATTCCATAGATCTTTTAAAGTCATCAGCACATCTGAATTATTAATGAGGCTTTAGAGGCAAGACTCCTGATGGGCTGGTTAAAAAAGGTTGTATAGAAATCTGGGACTGTGTACACATCAAAATAATTTCAGCTCCATTTAAAAAACCATTTAGTTCAAGTGTGACATAGATGAACCATTATGCATTTGTGGAAACCAATTTCTTGTGATCTACGATTAAACTAACCTTTCAGAGAAGAGTAAAGTGTGATGGTTATCATGTTTTAAAAGCATTGCCAGGTCTCAGAAACAATTTCCAACCAGGACTTTCTCAAACAGCTCATGTGCAGAGATGAGGCTCTGAGTGGGGCCTGCTGTTTACACTGTTGGCCCAAGCTGCCCTTGGCTCTGGCCGCACAGTTCTGCAGAACGATTTTGCTGAAGGGATTTAGTGCTAGGCTGCACATGCCAGGTAGGAAGAGTAAGTCTTGTTGGTGGAAAGGGGGGGATGTGTTTTGGGTGAAAGACCAAACAGATGCAATTTGCTGATTTTTTTTTTTTTTACAACCGCTGCAGAGAATAACTGTTGAGAATTTAGTATTTACAGTTCAATTCAAAGGGGGCACTTTGACCTTTCACCATGGACAGAATATCAATTTTCTCCAGCTATCTGTAAGAGAGACAGCATTACTGGTCTTATTTAAATTTCTTCTTTCTCTTTAAATTTCTTGCCACAAAAGACAACTGCGGTAGAATAGCCCCTGCGGTTGAGGAATGCAGCTTCAAGCAAGGAAAGATTTGTAGGCAAACACCTCCAATTGGGAGGTGAGATTCTCACTGTCCCTGATAAGCCACTGTTTAATTCAGTGTCTTCTAATCTCTAAATGCCTATGCTGTGTGAGGCCAGGTCAAGTAAGATGTTGAGGAAACTGAGCTAGTGAGCTGTTCTGAACCTTATTAGAATGTCTAGGGACAAAGGTCTCCCATCATCTTCAGAGAGAGCTACATTTTAGTGGTCACCATCCATTGGGCTTCCATGGAATGTGTTTTGATCAAGACAGTGACAATTTGGCATATGGAATCTTGTCGTTCAAGGACAAAGCTGCACCAATGGATCAATACGAAACTGGGCACAGGGAAGAGGACTAAAGCAGGAATTCTAGAAAGTGCTGAGTGAGAAAGGGAATCCACTCCAATGCTTGGCTAGCTCATTTCTTCTATGCGGCCTTATTTCAGACCTAAGACGAGAAGTACTGGGGTCTATGAGGCTTTTATGGTGCCAGGACCCCCCACCCATAAAATAAAAAAAAAAACCCTGTGTTTGTTCTTAGACTTCTTGAAGGTGACATATGTATGATGCCCTATTCTGAGAACTCTGTGCAATCTGTCAGAAACTTCTGTCACAAGGCAGTTAGAGTTAGGGAAAAAATGGCATGTCACTATCTTAATTTTTTTTTTTTTTTTGTCACAGGGTTTCTCTGTAGGCTTGGCTGTCCTAGAACTTGCTTTGTGGACCAACCTGGTCTCGAACTCACAGAGATCCACTTGCCTCTGCCTCCCAAGTGCTGGGATTAAAGGTGTGTGCCACCACCACCGAACTGCTACATTATTGAGAGTGTAATGTTGTACAGAAACTAAGCCATTATGCACACTATGGACACACCATGTGGAGGTGGCCGGGGAAATGGCAGCAGCTTGTGGTCTAGAGTGAAGTGTACCTGACTCTCTCATATCTTATCTGCTCTGAAAACGCTGTGTAAAGTATCTTGTTGTCATTTGTTCTATAGAATACGGTTGAGGAAATAGTCTTCCTAATCTTGTTAGTTAGGTCAACAGAACAGGTACCAATGGCTTACTACACATTCAGTTACATAGTAAGCAAATAATATTTGATAAGTTTGTTAATGCTTTTAATGATAGGGACTTTGGTGTTCTTCAGACTCCAATGTTAGTCACATGGAGATTCTAATATCCCCAACATCTAATTTGATCATAAGAGTTGAATGTGTTTGCAACTGCAACTCGCTGAGCACAATAGCTGTAATGACTGCCTAAGCGTTAGCTTTAAGGTTAGTACTGAGAAGAGTAGGATGTGGGTTGGGTGGTACCTTCCATATGTTGTGTTTACAAATGAAGTTCTTCAATGGAGAAGCCAGGGCAGAGACCTAGGATGTATGAACTGGGGACTTGCCTAAAGAATATAGATATTGTAATAGAGACGACAAGGGAGGATCTTATGGGCAGACTTCATCTGGAAGGTGGCTGAGAAGAAGGGTAATATGGTGTTATGCTAGGGAACTCAGGGCTCTCATGTAGTGGGTCTTCCAGACTTCATCTGGAAGGTGGCTGAGAGGAAGGGTAATACGGTGTTATGCTAGGGAACTCAGGGCTCTCATGTAGAGGGTCTTTGTTTCTGACATCAGATTTCCCTTGATGTTTGGAGAACCACCTACGCCTTCCCTCACTAGTACAAGGGTAGGGTTTAGAACAAGGGTTTAGATTCCTTCCTGGGGGACAGTTACTATGGTTAAGAGGGGCTGAGCTCTCCAAAGCTCCACAAACAGAGGGAGAAACAGTTGCACTATGAACACTGAGCCTTTGCTGGCTCCATGGGCTGTCAGTGTCGTGGGCTTTAGCCTTTTCACATGAGTACACCCCCAAGAAGACCGCAGAAAAGGGGAACTGATAAAGGCACTTGGAACACTAGGCGCTCTGTAGCATCACGAGCTGAGTCTGTGAGAGCAAAGGCATGGAAGGAAAAGATCCCAGTTGAATAGCAAGAACAATGAGACAGCAACGGCTACAGGGAGCTCCAGGCTACAAGGGCAACTCCATGCAGTTTCCTGGGTTACGTTTCTGATAGGCAGTGTGGTGTTCCTCCTCTGCTCACAAAATCCTGATGATCCCAGGCAAAACTATACATCCTGTCTCCTCCTCTTCTGCCTCAGCAGAACACAGCCATTCCACAGACATAAGCATAGTCTCTACCAGACCCAGACAAGCTTCCTTGATCTCACTTCTTTGTAATGGACCACTATGACTGTCACTGCATCTCTGTATCCTGTCAAACCCTGAGGACACTCTTTCCTCTTAGGTAGCAGGAGTTTCTCTCACTCACTTCCATGTGCAGTCTCCTTATGAGAGATACTTAACCAGCTTAGTGACAGGTGCCCACAGCTACTTCCTTATCATATTATGACAAAGCAGGCATTGGCTGATGGAAGCTGGTGGAGAAAATGATTTGAACCCTGTCTTATCTTCCACTCCCTGAAGTTTCTGTACTTTCTTGTTCTTCAATGAGCCTGTTGCTATAGGAACCTGGAAGGTTGATATAAGTATCTCTATTGGGATATAGACACCCTTAAGGCATTCCCTGTGCTGAGAGTCAGTCAAAGGTCCCTCTGGTCACCTAGGATCTCCATAATGCACAGACAGTCTCTCTAGTCACTAAGGTCATATGGCTTGCCCCCTGGCTTGAAAGCAGAATCTGGCTCTAAGAGTCCGGCACCAGCAAATCAGCTATGTCAACACCTCAGGCATTAATTGCCACTTTCCCAAAAATAAACCAAGGGGATGTGTGTAAATTATAAAACAGTTTAAAACTGTGAAAAAATCGATTAAGTTGAGAATTTTTTGAAATATATATTGCATATACCTACTTTAATACCCTCAGTCATAAGCCCTAACTTCAGAATAGAATTTGAAATGTCTCCAAAATGCAGTGAAAACCAGAACGTGCAAGGGTCCATTTGAACTAGATTTGAGAAGGACTTCAGTGGCAGCTGTGAGGGATGTTGACATGTCCACAGTTATCAGACAGCTGGTGCTGAGATTTTCCTCCTAGCTTACCAACTCACTTAACATCGGCCCTTTCCAAAGCCCAAGCAAATTGGACTAAAAGGCTCAAAAACTGCTTCTCTCTTCCAGCTCTGGGAAGATCACTGAGTTCCAAGCTGTGATTCATATTAAATGCATGCTTTTCTCTTCACAGTGTTCTCTCACTTTCTACCATTTCTTCTCTGTTTCTCGTTGGGTGACGGGGAGTAGGGAAGAGAAACTACAGCATCATCTGCCTCCTTCCTAAGGGAGCTTCTGTCTAATTAAGAAAAATATAATACAGAAGTTTCAGCTCTTAAGAGGGAACTCAACACGATCCCTTTGCCACCATCAGATATATTAGTAATCATTGCTCATCAGTTCTCAGTGATCTTAATGATCTACCCAGTGGAGATTGTGTGCCCAAAGTTCAGGGAAACCCCCAAATTTCATCTCATGTCAGTCTGTTCCCATTATAGTCAATCACAGTCTCAACTACGGGAGCCACTAACCAAGAGTATTAAAATACACTTTGGCTTTATACCTGTCTACCCCATTTGCAGTTGGGATTTAACAAACTCTGAAAGGCAAGTGGCAGGAGACACATGGGTACTGTTCAGACTGAGTCATCAGCCCCTTCAGCACTGGACATGCACTCTCAGCTCACCGGCTTTGACTGGGTTCAAACAGATAAAAGAGACCAATGCATTTGCCATTAATAACCCTCCTACTACAGATGAAAGGAGGATCAACCGTTAACAGGGAAGTACATTCGCCAAACGGAATAGCTGTGAATGTTTTACAGAAACAGTTATCAACTGGCATCATCGCTGGATTTGTTGGGTCTTGCCAAGATCAACACAGAGAGGTAAACAGACCGATGGGGGCTGGGTTTGGGTGGTGGTGGTGGTGATGGGGGAAGTGGAGGAAGCTGGGTTTTTCAATGAGAAAATGCTTTTGGATTTGGGGCAAGGTACCAAGATGGGCGGGGAGGCCACGTGCAGTTTTGAAGGCAAGCCAGATGGAGAGAAGTTACCCCCAGATTAGCCAATCCCCAAACCCAAGAACACCAAAACAAACTCTAAGGGATCTAGCCATAGCAGCAGCACAGCCTCATGGCGCTGAGCAATTGAGAACGTGGAGGAAGAAAAGAAGAAGGAAGGAAGAAAGGAGGGGGGAGGGAGAGAAGCAAAACAAAAGAAATAGAACCACAAACAGAACAATAAAAATAAAAATAAACAAACCAATAACAGAATAAAATTTGTAACTCCTTTTTTTTTTTTTTTAATTCCACAAAAGTTTCACAAGGACAACGTTATAGAAGAAAACCCCCAGCAGTGGCTAGGTCATGCAGAACCATTAATTGTCATACCTTGGCCCATTCTAGTCATCCTTGTTGCACTTTAGAGAGAGAAGTAAGCTATGTGAGTTTTACAATGCTTTCAAACTGTCAGTATTTCCTGTTGAGCACTTTAACTGGCACATTCTCAGAGTTATAAATGTTCTGAGGGCATAACTTCATAACCTCCTTTGCAAAGAATGCATGAAGATCTCTCATAATCCAAAACTAGGGGATATGTATATATAGTTATATATATAAAGTCATATATATAGTTATATATAAAGAGATAGATATATGTCATATATAAATCAAAATACATAAGGACAAAAATAATTTGAAAAAAAAATACTTCCACTCACGGGACTTTTGAATTTCCACGTACACAATGACTCCCCACCCATTGCTGGTTGGAGTACTGCACTGCCCCTGTCTTTGGTGTGGGAGGAGGTGGAGGTTCTGATTGAACTTCACCATTTTTGTCAGTAAAAGTGCTTGTCAATCACACAGCAAGCAAATGTCCAAAATCATCATGCTGCAAGGGACAGGGGATCCAAAATCTAAACCCAAAACATTCACCATAAAAACACCTTTTTAAAAAGAGACGCTACAGCTGTTACAAACTTTCCCCTCCTTCCTGCCCTTTATTCTAGCCGAGGATTTCTAAGTAAACATCTCAGACAGGCTCATATGCACCCAAGGCTAGTCTAGCCATACCAGAATTGGTATGGTAAAGTTGGCCAATTCCTCAGAACTCCTATGTTCCTAGAATGTAATTTGCATGCATAAAACATCTGGTGATTGCATATTGGGGGAAAGGGGATCAGTTTATCTTCCCTCCCTTGTTGACTAACAGTTTTAAAAAAAAAGAATAAAAGAAAACAAAAACAAAAAAAAACTACTGAAATGTGCTTGGCTTGCTGTCGCAGCCCTTTCCTTCCTGTTTTGAAATGACAGGAGAAGCTCTCTCCCCATCACTCGCTTGCCCATGTGATTGGCTGTATGTTAAAGAGGCTGCCTAAGGTGAACTTCTCCTGCTAGCCTTCTGCATTGGGACTGTGCATCATACAGCTGTGCTAGAAATTTAAATGTGGGCACTAGTTTCTGTCTTTGTTGAGTCAACCAACGGTGGCTCCATCCCACTATATCCTGATTTATCTAGCATGTCAGCCCCTACAGAAACCATTATCTGTTGCTGGGACTTTCTCCCTCTCACTTCACCATTGCTCCCGCCCGAATTGCCCTGGCTTTGGGGCCCTCGTTAGTCAAACAAAGGGGAGTAAAAAGGTCCCCTGAGAATGCATGGAAAAATACTTGCTCTTTTCTGAGCGTTATTTATTCTGTACATAAGGTAAGTGATTCACCTTTTAAAAGATGTAAAAGTCCCAGGAAGGCAGTTCTTAATGACTTACATTTGATATTTATGATACATATGGCTTTTCATCCCAAATGTCAAAAGTGAAAGAAAAAACTAGCTATCCCTATGGCAGCATAAGGAGACAGAATAACAATTTAATATGCAACCAAACCTCTTTTCAGGTATATGAAATGACTAGGATTTGATACATCCAGGGGTGGAAACCTGTTTTCCTCTTTGCATTAAAGTTAGAAACATTCACTTGAACTTCTGAAAGAAGTTAGCTCTGAGACAAAAAGGCTTTGGTGAATAAGTTAAAAAAAAAAATCTCTGATGCTCTCTCACAACAAGCAGGTGCTTAATCATCTTTTGCGCGTACTTTGAAAGCTTTCCAAATGTTTTGTGATACTTTAGCCCAGAGTGGAAACGATCAATGCACTTTCGTTCCTTTTGGTTGCTTGTTTCAAATGATCATGTGCTAACTTACTGTGTGTATAGAAAAAGAGAGAGAAAAGAAATAACAAAACAAAACAAATCAAAACCCAAAGCATTCTGATGGCCCTGATAAATCGGAATCAACCTGCTTTGCCTAACTGACAGATTGCAGGTGCTCCCTTCTAATCTGTGAACTCATTCCTGTAGCGAGCTATTTACATCTGGAGGATGCCTCTGGGTTATTCCCCCCTAGAATCATAAATAACTTTTGGTCCATCCACTTATTCGCTTTTGTGTTCAAGGGTTTTATGGTGGTGAAATAAAAATGACAACCACATGCACACTATCATACATATGCAAATGTGTAAAAAAAAAGGAAAAGAAACAAAAAAAGAGGGGACTACAGGGAACAGGAAAGTTGCTCTGTTGGAATACCAACTGGGGAAATGAGTAGCAGATACAGTTTCACACATGGTGCCGGTGGATACACATATCAAAGTCGCTCTTCCTGAACGTACTTCTGTTTGTCGCGAGACTCCCTGGACTTGGGCCGGTTTGGCCGATTTGCTGTGGACGGGATGGAGTGGACGGAGGAGCTCTTCTTACTGGAGGACTGTGAGGAGTGGGAGGAATGAGACAGGCTGGCTCGCGATTGGCCAGCGTTGTGGTCAAACTGCATCAGGCAGAAGATCAGGTCTGTTGGTACAAGCTCAAATTCGTAGGGGGGATTGGTGATGACATACCTAGAGAAAGAAAGCAAAGTGGTCACAGGCTGAGTGGAGCAGACACATGGCTTAACTCTCCCTGAGTCAAAAACCAAATTGCCTGGCTGCTCCAATATATCTGAGGAACTGGATGATGGTTCTGTAGACTTGAATCCTCTTCCGAATGAAAGAAGAGTTTCATGTTTAACTCAGTGAGGCAGTCAGAAGACCAAGCAAAGGTGCCAAGTGAGAGCTGGTGATGAAAAAAGCCACACCATAATTCATATGAACCATATGCATTTTTTCCTACGAAGGTCCAGTTCATGATAAACAGTCACCCGATTGGGCTGTAGCTTCTATACTAGAAATTCCTGACAGCCACAGACACCCCACAGGGTCTCTGTTTGTCTTCCCTACAACTTCTTGAATAAAAGTTCTCTGATTATAAGAGCCTGACCTGCCTCTTCCCTATTCTACCAAGCTTTCTATGCATGGCTATGGAGATCACCATGTTGACTCTGTAGCAATGAATCTATGAGTTTGTTCTCAAAGGCTCCCAGGAACCTCTGAGAAAAGACAGGTTGTTTCCCTGGGGATGGAGCTAAGTGGCAGAGCATTTGCCTTGTAGGCAGGAGGCCCTGGATTCAATAAGTAGCACAGAAAAGAAGAAAATAAGAAAGGAAAGAAGGAAAAATGAACGAACTAAAAACAGAAGAAAAAGTTCAAGTAACCTCACTCACCCTGATCTGTGGACTCACAAGCCCTGGGGTGGGAGACTCAGTAGTCCGGCCTTGGGAAGCTCTATAGGCGAATCTCATATTCATTGCCATGTAGGAACACATCAGTATACAACAATTTTTGTTTTGTTTTGGTTTTCAAGACAGGGTTTCTCTGTGTAGTCCTGGCCATCCTGGAACTCACTCTGTAGATGAGGCTGGCCTTGAACTCAGAGATCCGCCTCCCAAGTGCCACTACCTAGCATTAGACTGCGACAATTTTTAACTCTGGCTATATACTGTAATTCTCAGGCATTAAATACATAAACATTGGTATATAATTTTAAAAGTACATGTAATTTTTTTCTTACACACTGTGGAAATTACTCTAATCACAGTATTTTTTTTAAAGTAATTTATTTTCATTTTATGTGCATTGGTGTTTTGCATTCATGTCTCTGTGGAGGCCCCGGAACTAGAATTATAGAGAGTTGCTAGCTGCCATGTGTGCTGGGAATTGAACCTGGGTCCTCTGGAAGATCAGTCAGTGCTTATAACTGCTGAAGCAGCTCTCCAGTCCCTAGTATTTTTTTAAATCCCACAGATGACTTTATTCTACAGGTCTGAGAAGTACCTCCATGGCACTATTTACTGGATCACACACACTACACTACAGATCTGAGAAGTACCTCTACGGCAATATTTCCTGGATCACACTACACAAACTCATGGGCTTGGGTAATTCTAGAATTACTGTTTTACCTGCTATGAGTTTAAATTAAGGCATGTAAGGGAAAGCACACAACTAGCATACCCAAATCATCATCTATTTTTGTGTAAAGTGATAATATAAAAGTTTCTTAAACTTAGATATAAGAAAGAAAGTGAATCAATCAATTACAAAATATATAAATCAAAATATAGCATCAATGTGAAGCACCTCCACATTAGGGACCAAGGAAGGGATCTGAGGAACCAGAGTTCGGGATTCTGGCTTTTGTAATGGGGTAAACAAATCCTTGCCTCAGTGACTTCACATTCACTTTCAGTATTTTTTTAAAGAAATATTTGTTATAACTCCTGGGGTCAGTGTTACACTTGACATGGGCAGTATGTTGAAGGCATGCGCATAGAGACCTTTGCCTGCAGGGAACGAGAGAAGGCACTGATGCCCCTGCACTCAGGTGAGATGGTAAGTGGGACAATGCACTCACCTTTTTGTACACTGGCTTGGGGTGCTGAGGTGGGCATCTCTCAGCCGGTAAATTCCAAAACAAAGCATATTGTACGTTTTCAGAGCTTTGCAGAACAGATCACCATAACAACCACCATCCTAGGAGGCAACAAAGGACAAGAGAACATCAGCTTTTGCTTGCCTGGTAATCAAGGTGGGAGGCAGCTTTTCATCAACCCCTCTGTGCCTGAAGACATCAGCATGGTTAACAGCTTGGATCCAGTATGTTTGACTTCAGGGAACTGACCATCACTAGGCTTCCCCTGGTGGCCACCCAGTTGTGTCCATAGCTCAAACACACTCCTGGCTTCCTTCACCTGGGATGGGGATGTGTCACTGGAAGGTCTCAGCTGTAGAGCTAGAGAGAAGAGGTGAACTCTGCAAAGCAAGGATTATATTCCCTGTGCTCAGCTGTGTCCACTGTGATGAGACCATATTGTCAGGACTGTCCAAGTGATAATGAAAAGCACTGCAAGAATAAAAGAGCAGCCCCAAGCCCTCTGGTGAGGAGACTCCAAGAAGGACTGTGTGAAAAGCACAATTTGCAGACCTCAAAGATGTCTAGGTGAAGGGCATGTGGGAGTCTGTAGGTGAGATAGCTGGGATTCACTGCACTAATCAGTTCACAACCACCCGGAGTTCTGGGGCTTAACTCAGAAGGCGAAAACAATGTAATTGTTTGCAAATGCATAGAAAATTCTGGACTTCAAGCAGGTGTGTGATACCAAGTAGACTTTACTATACAGATCAGCATGACAGAGTAGACTCACTAGAAACCGAGGGAATACATTTGTCTTTGCTATCACTGGAATTCTCATGATGAACATCATATTAGACAACAAAAGATCCTACATTTTTCCATTACTGAAAATATTAATCTAATTCAACTGGATTAGTAAGGAAGTGATAAGGATAAGAACTACTGATGATGGAAATTGACCTTCATCAGTCTAATATAGGTCGTAGCCAAACAAGCAGCCATTTGATGGCCAAACAAGACCTTTTCCATGATGGTACATTCTGGGCAATATATAGTGTAATAGGGAAATACATTCCTAGGCTCTTGGTTCCGCTCCTTAAACACATCTATACAGGTGCTTTTGGAGTCAAGGTCAAGGTAGCACACTTTTTCCAAAGTGTCTGACATAGTACAGAGTAGTGACTACAGAGAAACCAAAGGAAACTCTGGTCCCATCATGAAAAGGAGGTATAGGGAAGCAGGACTTGGCCCAGACTCAGAAATCCCAAGACCAAGGTTTTGCATTAGAGACCTGAAGTCATCAAAAGTGCCAGTTGAGATCCTGTCACTTTGGTCAATTGTTCTGCACACACACAACTGCCGTCATGCTTTAAACCTCACCAGTGCCTGGATGACACTGTGAACAAAAACTCCTGAGAAGAAGTTATGTCTATAGAGACTATGATTAGAACTGCAGTACGGTGGTAAGATTAGGAAGCTTCTGGTGCAGAAGCTAATTACCATAACTTGGGATAGTTCTAGTCCTTTACAGCAACCATTCCCTGCCTACCTCTGCTGTGGAATAATCCTCTTGTATACAGTAAAGATTTGTCACTTGAATTGGTTTAATAAAACACTGATTGGTCAGAAGCCGGGTAGAAAGTATAGGTGGGATGACCAAACTAAGGATGATGAGAAGGAGAAGGACAGAGTCAGGAGTCTCAAGCCAGATATAGAGGAAGTAAGATGAGAGTGTCATACTGAGAAAAGGTACCAAGTCGTGTGGCTAAACATAAATAAGAATTATGGCTTAATTTAATAGTAAGAGCTAGTTAGGAATAAGCCTGAGCTACTGGCTGAGCATTTATAGTTAATATAAGATTCTGTGTGATAAGCTAGTTCCAGGACAGGCTCCAAAACCACAAAGAAACCCTGTCTCGAAAAAACAAACAAACAAACAAACAAAAAAAAAAAAAAGATTCTGTGTGATAACTGGGAATCAAATGCTGGGTATTTGAGAACTGGCAGGTGGGAAAGAACCATCCATTTACACACCTCTCAGTCAAAACAAATATCTTGTAGCTAATAGAAACCTTTTTGGAATCTATTAACTTAGCAGACCATGAGCTTAGACAAACCCAAAAGCTAAGAAAATCATTAGATAACATCTGGGGCCTATAGTAAAGCTTTATCCATCTTGCTGTATCCGTGTATTTTAAAGTTGCCTTGATTTATAATTTTCCTTGATCGGTAAAAACCACACAACTTCATGAAACTGCTTCTAGGTGGGAACAAGGAATTCAGGCTAACCTATTCTGTGTTCCTGAGCCATGGTCCCTCAAAATAGTTCCAGAATAAACTACCTCTTATTCCCTTTTAAGATGAGAGCTGTAATTTTTGTGTCAACAGTATATAGATACAAAAACCTTGGTGGCAGGGTTCGAGGCCAGGCATCCCCATGTTCAGAGAGAGTCAAAGTGGAGTACCTCTGAGCTACAAGGACCCTGCAAAAATGTTTCCTAAACTTAGCTATGTGGTGTTGGCAACTACCCCGTCCATCCCTGGGAAGAAAATACTCGAGGAAGACAGCAGTGGAGGTGAGAGCCATATCCCCAAAGTCAGGATGCTTTGGTGGAAATGTCCCATGCCTTAGTTGCCTGAGAAATATCAACTATTTGGTTGGAGGAGTTGCATGAATGTCTATGTATAAAGCGTGGGGCCTGGTAAACAGAGTCACGTAAATACCATCTTTTTAGTTTATTACAATGGAAGAGAGAAACACAGATGCTTAGCCTGTCACCATGTCACACGGTTCATTCATATCAGGCTTGCTGCAAACACGGCTCAGGAATCGTCTGGGCTGTAGACTCACCCCTAAGTCTGCAAAGGGGCCATCCAACAGGGCTAACTGAGCCACTCGGCAACGGTCCCTGTTGGCTAGTGTCTGGGGAGTGCTGTAGCCCCCTCGAAGTGCATTCTCCTCAGCAATCAGAGCCTCAAGCTCTGGCGTGGCTCCTCCTGTCACCAGGGTCCGTATCAGGGTGAGGATATTGTCATTGAAGTATGTCTGTGGAAAGAAGGTAGAGAAACATTCTTAAGCAAACAACCTAAAGTCACCGTAGCTGACAATCCAAATTCCAACTTTTCTTGGTATCTCCCATGTAAAGTTCTGGCTTCTCTCTTGAAATAATTTTCTGTGGGAAAAGAAAAAACAGCAGTCTCCAATTATTCCATTCTCACCTGCTTGGTTCCACTATGGGATCCTGACTTAAAGGAAGAAAAGAAAAGGATAAAAACAATTCAGGGAATTCTTAAAAGGTTAATGCCTGAAAAATTGATGTTGGTAGATATACAAATACTGCCTTGCCTCTGTACACCTGAAAAATATCAACTCTGACACTAGGGGCACAATAAAAGGCAGCATGCCTGGGCGGCTACCCTAAAGAGGCCAACCTCTTAGAGCCTGCCACCCATATGTTAGGAGGGAGGCCACCTACAAATAGCACAACTTCTTTCTGTTTGGAATTAGATGCAAAGAGAATCTTGAATGCCACACACTCAACAACTTATCACAGACTTTGATAATGGCTGGACCCAGAAGTCACCACCAGAATAGCAGCTGGAGAAGTCTATGAGCTGCATATCCTGATGTGTGGATTTTGGGTTTGCAAATAACCCCAGCTGTCTGAGGCAAATACAGATGATTTAAAGAACTCTTTCCCTTACATAGCCATTTTTCTCCCACATGGAATGTTCACACAAAGGCAATGGGGGCTTTAAAAATTAACAGAATGTCTAAGAAAAGACCTTAAAATGACATTTGTCACCCAGCCAAAATAGAGAAAATATCAGTTAAAGGCGGTTTGTTCCATTTTCTTGCATGAGAAGTCAAAGCCCCTACATAAAAACAATCCAAATCTTGGATGTAGTTTGGGGCATTTATACACCACTGGAGCAGGCTAGAAAAGACAGGTGCATCCTTTTTTTTTTTTTTTTTTTTTTTTTTAGTTTTTCGAGACAGGGTTTCTTTGAAACTTTGGAGCCCATCCTGGCACTAGCTCTTGTAGACCAGGCTGGCCTAGAACTCATAGAGATCCGCCTGCCTCTGCCTCCCGAATGCTGATATTAAAAGCATGCGCCACCACTGCCCAGCTGACAGGTGCATTCTTATTTGCAACTTTCTTGCCAGTTTACATGGCAGTGCATCATGAGCCAGACATGGCTGAGTCCTCATCCTACCCTCATCACTAGCTCTGTGTTGTCCTGGGCATCAGTGTTTACAGCCATTAAAATCAGCATGGTTGTTAAAAACAAGTATATATGCAAAGAATTCCACATGGACTTCCAAGTTAAGAAGATGCTGCTGGAGGGCCTGGATTTCGTGATCCTTATTGAAACACTCAATCAGAGAGCACAAAGAATTCCAGCTGCAAATAATGCTAGGAAAGTTATACCCAGGCTATCCTCAAGAGCTCAGTTGTTCTCTGGGGTGGACAAGCAGAATCGAAGACACTCAAGGGAGCAGATGCAGGGGGGAAGGCTAAGAGGGCTGGAGTCCTTTTGAGGTTCAGTGTTGACTTCAACTTTCAGAAGCTCTGCTGCCTTCGAAAGTTGTGAAACATTTTCGAACTTAGTGTCATCAGCTGTAAAATGGAATAGCAGAACAGCTACAAGATACCTGACGCTCAGCACCTGAGGGACTGAAAAGAAACTCAGGGCCCAGGGAGTGCTGGTAAATATGGCTGACCTGAACCCAGAGACATGGGGAAGGGACTGTTGATGATGGGCAACAGCCACTCTCACATCCAAACATCCCTTGATTATTCTCATTACTGTTTCAGCTTTTGTTCCAGAAGATGGAAGGCCATTATTCCCTTCATTCTGGAACCTCTTATCTCTCAGTCACCCTCAGTGTCCAAGTTTCCTCCAGAGCAGTAATTCTCAACCTTCCTAATTCTGTGACTCTTTAATACAGTTCCTCATGTTGCGGTGACCCACAACTATAAAATTAATTCTGCTGCTACTTAATAACTGTAATTTCGCTACTGTTATGAATCATAAGATACCTGATATGCAGCATATATGATTATAATCCCTGTGAAAAGGTCATTCAACCCCAAAGGGGTCAAGGACCACATGGAGAACTGCTCCTCTAGATTAAAGAAGAACACCTTGAAGGTCCTGTGCACTACATCCTGAAGATTTATTACATGGATTAAAGACACACAAGCATTTTCCAATATTTTCCCTATGGTATTTTCCCTACCCAGTCCTGTCTATCATATTAAATAATGGAGAACTGGACAGAAAACTGACAACTACCTTTGTGTTCCAATTACCATGCTAGACCCATGGCAGGTAAGCGGGTGGCAAACATTCACAGCACTGTTTGCTGAACCACTAAAGCACTCTCTGCCCAAATGTATAGAAATGAGGAACAGTTGGGTTTTGTTGTTGTTGTTTTCCCAAAAGGAAACAGTTTTCAAGAAAAAGCACGGAAGAATTGTTTTTGACTGGGTAAGTAGTCATTAGAAGATCTAGCTGGCCAAAGTATAAAGATTAAGCCATAGTAGAGTGATTGACCCCAACTGGAGCATGCTCTCCAAGACTCAGGGAACATTACCCAAGAAAGGCAGAAATACTAGAAGCCAGAAGATGGGGAAATACACCCATGAGAGGTCTTGTAGGTCATGACTTATTAATTACACCTGTGGTCATCTCCCAGGACCTGCACAAAACTGGACCAACTAATATTTCATCGTAGACAGGGAAGGAGCCAGGGAGGCCCCACTTCTGCTTGAGGAACTACTGGCAATTATAAGATGTTTGTGGAAAGGCTACTTTCTTCAGTGGTGTAGCAACTGGCAAGTTTTCTTGCTCCAGCAAACATCCTCTCACCTATGCTCATGCAAAAATCACCAGTTAACCTCATTGAATCACATACAAAATGACTATGGGAGGGAAAGTGAGACTTACTGAGTTTCAGTAGGACAGAGAACAGAGAAGAGATAAAAGTGACTAAAATTCATTATATATAAATGTGTGAAACTTTCAAAAAAAACCTTAATAAGGAGCACACAGATAAACCAGTTAATGCTCAATAGTTTAGGGTGGAAGAGCAGATGCTTTCCCCCTAATATCAGCAATAAAGAGGATCATTCTCATGACTTCCATCTTAAAATTGTGCTGGAAGTTTTAGTTAGTAGGAAAGAAATAAAAGACATTCACGTTGGAAAAGAAAAAAGATTATCTCCACTCAAAGTGGCCTGGCACTATATAAAGAGAATCCCAAGGAATCCACAGGTAATAATGATTTAGTATAAAGAGAATCCCAAGGAATCCATAGGTAAGAAGGATTTAGTAAGATTTCAGGGTACAAAAACATTATGCAAAAATCAAACTTTTTTCTGTGTGAACAAGAAAAACTTAAGAAAGAAACTCTACTTCCAACAACATTGAAAATAATAAAATGCTTAAGAAGAAATTTTTTCAAGAAGTTCCAGGGCTGATATACTAAAATCTATGCAACATTACAAAAGATATGAATAAAATATAAATAAATAGAAAGATGTCCCATGTTCTTGGATTGGAGGATAAGATTAAAATAATAATAAAAACCTTAAACATAATACAGATTCAAGACATTCCTATTGAATTTTATAGGAAATTGCAGAAAACATAAAATGTTATATAAATCATACAAAAAAAAGCAATCAGCAATAAAATTGAATGTTCCCAACCCCTGATTTCAAAATATACTTCTAACACTAGCATGATGACTCAGCAAGGGAACAGAACTGAGCATCTAGAAATAAACACATAGAGCTGCTATTAACTGGCTTTCAATGAGGATATCAAGAAGCTTTATAAAGAAAGAATAGTCTACTAAATAAAGAGTGTTACAACAACTGAGCATCAACATACAGAAGAAAATGTTGGTTGGCCCTATTCCTCACACCATATACAAAACAACATGAATCAAAGACCCAAATGTGACAGCTAAAAGTGTAGAGAGCTAAGAAGAAATAACAGTGGTGAATCCTCTTAACTTCACTTTGACAATTATCTTAGATAAGGCACCAAAAATCATAGACTATACAAGAAAGCTTGATCATTTGTATCTCATAATATTTTTAAATTATACACTGGAAGAAGCTATGTAGAAAGTAAAACTTCTCTGTATAATTAGAGAAAATATTTGAAAATATTGTATCTTATAAGGGTATAATATTCAGTGTTTAAAATCCTCCAATAACATAACCAAAAGGCAATAAATTTGAAAAAATAGAAAAAGGATAAGGCTTGAATAAACATTCCTTCAAAACAAGGTAGAGAAGTCAAGAGACACAAGGAGGCCTAACACCAGTAGTGATAAGGAAAACACAAGTTCCAATCTTAACGAGAGTTCATCTTTACCCACGGGGATGGTTATGATAAAACAAGGGCCAGATACATAGAACTGATGAACGTGGAGAAACTGGAGCCCTTACAGTTTCCGTAGGTGTGTGAGTGTTCCGATCACTGGAAGGCAGTCTAAAAGTTCCTTAAATTGGTAAACTTTGAGTTATCACAGGGCCCAACAACCATACATAACTATACCCATGGGAAATGAAAGACACATCAAAACAAAACTTCATGCAGAGAGATTCATAACGGCATCATTCGTCATAGCCAGGACTGGAAACAATAAAATGGCACTTGGTTAATGGACACATCACAAAATGTTATAACTGTGGAAACCATTTTATTTGTGTATAAAAAGAAATAAAGTACATGGTACAACAAGGATGAGCCACAAAAATCAATAAGATTCCATTTATATGAACCATCCAGAAAAGGCGATTCTAGAAAGACAGAGATACATGCTCGTGGATGCTCAGGGTTGAGCAGCTAAAGTAGTAAGGAAAATGAGGACAGAGTTCTCTTGCACATTATGAGACTGTTCTTAAAAGATCCTTGGAGATGTTTACATATGCTTAAAAAACCCATAAAATCATATACTTGGGTGAATTTTATGGTCTATTAATATTCCAATGAAACACTTCTTAAAAGAACTGGTTAAAAGAT